GCAAATGATTTTACTATAAGAATGAATTACAAATTACTTTGCTATGAAAATGCATTACAAATAATTTTACTATAAAATTCATCGCAAATGATTTCACTATAAAATGCATTGTAAATGATTTTACTATTATTGTGAGACCGGAACTACCTACACAATAGACTCTTCCAGGTCTATATTAAGTATGCGACACAACCCTCTACACAGAGAGAGTCGTGTACGACTACCAGTATTGGACACTAACATATAGTAAGCTCCGCTTACACTATCTCTGTAACCTGTTGTTAATATATCTTTCTTACATCTAATCCATGTTCCGTGCTTTCCTTCTGTGGTCCCAACTTTGGCCCCACATCAGTGGCGACGAGGATTCGAGAAACGCACTCACGGCGAAACCTCAATACCTTACCAGTTCCACATCTGGGTCGACGAAGAATTCGAGAAACGCATTCACGTCGAAAACCGCAATACCTTGCCAGTCCCACATCAGTGGCGACAGAAAGATTCGAGAATTTCGTTCTCACCATATCAATAGCGACAGTACTCGAAAAATACACAGAAACTCCACGCGTTCCCACAGCAGTGTTGAACGAGAAATTAAGCTGGTATTACTACATTAGCGATTTAAAAGCTAACCACCCAGTGTATACATATATTCCAATAACAAACATCAGTGACGAGCAGTGTTTCGACATCTACGGAATATTAAAGTCTGTCCAAATAACATTACGAGAACGATTTCTTACACACTCACACACAGAGAAAAAAAACAGTTTGTTCGTAAAACAAACTAACACAAGAGCAGAAGTACTAACAGTTTTCGAAAAAAAACTATCGAAAATTTTTTTTTATGTAACTGAGTTGAACTCGGGCATAAAATTATTCTCCCCTCAAATTCACTGAGGTGAGTTTTCTCTTTTTATAACTCTATAAAAAAATACATAAGTGTGGTGAAAATTTATTCAATTACGTCAAAATTAACGGAACCACGGGAAAAAAAAAGCTAAACACAATTAGTTTAGTTTAACTAATTGTCTGTCCATATTTTTTTTCTGTAAAAGAAAAAAAATCTATCAAGATTTATTTTGTGTACCTCCTCTTAGTACACGTGTTTCAAAGCAACAAAAAAAGAGCTGTCATTTTTAAATATGGAAGATATTTTCAACGTAGACTGTGAACAATGGTCCAGTAAAAAGAAGGTACGTCTTCTATTGAGAAAACTGGGAACTACAGAACATAGTAGGTTCGTAGACTTCATACTACCCAAGAAAACGACTGACTTGAATTTTTCAGAGACTATTAAGCTCCTATCTGAACTATTCGGGCCTAACACAACCTTGTTCCACAAACGTTGGAAATGTCTGAATACAGTCAAAGACAACCAGCAAGATTTTCTAACGTTTGCAGCATCGGTAAACAAGCTCTGTAATGATTTTAAACTAGCCGAACTGACTGCCGATGATTTTAAGTGCTTGATTTTCGCACATGGTCTAGTGTCAGCAGAAGACACTGAAGTCAGACGACGGGTACTGACCAAGCTTGACAACGAACAAGGATTGACTCTCCAAAAACTGGCAGAGGACTGTCAAAGAGTAATATCTGTAAAGTGTGACTCAAACACTATCGAGGAATCAGGTGTGACTCTGATTAATAAAATCAGAATAAGTCTACCTCCTATTCCCTCAAAAAAGACAAAAGACAAATCTCATGTCCTAAATTCCGCAGTAACCAAAACCCAAATAGGTTAAAGAAACCGCCCGGACCATGTTACCATTGTGGTAAATGGCATTGGATGAAATTCTGTCCAGTTAAGAACAAAAAATATTGCTAAAATTGCAATAAAAGTGGGCATACATTAACTTCGTGCTGGTACGCCAACAGAACGAGAAAACCCCAAAATAAAATTAGGCAAGCTGAATCTGACGATATTGCCGATAGGAATTTAAGGAAATATGTAACTGTGGATATTTTCAATAATTCCATTAAATTCCAGCTTGACTCGGGTTCCGATCTTTCACTCAGGCCAGAAGAAAATGGCCGCAAACTACATGAAAACTGCCGTAGAAGCATGAACAAATCGATTATTTCCACTATCGATGGGAGTTAGGAAATGCAAAATCGGTCTTGGCCTTCCCGCTCACTTGGAGCATGTGCATGTAAATGTTGATGCAAATCCGTCGAAAATTGCGGCCGTGCATTCGTTACACACACACACAAACACACATCCTGCCTTTTATAGATAGATGTAATGACAGTGTTAATGGCGGTTTTACTATAGAAAAGTATTTAAAATTTTCTGTTGGAAGTGTAGAAATTCCGTATAGGAAAGAAAGGAAATAGAACACGGGATTGGACGAGTTAAGTGTTTCATTTTTTGTCCAACAACGTAAGATGTTATAAACTCGAAAGATTTAAGCATTTGCCATGTTCTTAAATAGCCTCACGAGATGGCATTCTCCTGAAAATCAAACCGTTTCAGAAATGTTCAAACTCAGCTATTCTCTGATCAAGGATTATTAATGTCTTCGAGCGAAAGAATCCTTTAGACCTTAAAGTAAACAATCTTTCATCAGAGCCTATAGGCTGGCGCTACAGAATCACAAGCACACGAAAAGAAAGAAAGAGTGTCAGGCCCTTCTTTCTCATTACGTGCCCCAGAAACTTCCGCTGCCTCTTCCTGATGTTAAGTATATGACTCCTCCTTGTTTGCATCCTCTCCAAGAAATCATTGTTGCTCACACGCTCAGTCCATGATATCCTCAGCATCCTTCTGTAGAGCCACATGTCCGTCGCCACGAGTCTCTTGTTCATCTTTTTGGAAATCATCCAAAATTCGCTGCCATAAAGGAGGACAGATGTCAGTATTCTTTTCTTTGTTACCAAAGAGATCCTATTGTCTCGCAATACTCTGTCCAGGTTTTGGAATGTGTCCTTGGCCAAATAATAAAACCCGCATCACTTGAAGACTTCCAACAGCAGTAATCACTATAGTGAGAATATGTAACTAGAAAAGAAAATAATGATATAATCAAGGTGTTAACTTTCCACACTCCTTTAAACAAAAGATGAGGAAGGAAATACCCAACAGTACTAGAGCGAGCTATAACAGTTAATGGACTTTATAAGTTTAATTTCTCGAAAAGAAAAAGCTTCATTTTTTTTTTTTTTTTTTTTAAAAAAGATGATATAAATTTCAACCTTTTTTTTTCTTTTTATGTACCGTATCCTTTCAGGAAGTCGGCGATCATGGATCTCCACTTTTCCCTCTATCCCTTGTAGCTCTCAATAGCTTTCGACAATCTGCCACCTCCCCCAGACATCGTTCTGTCATCCACTTGCTCAAGCCCGCCAAGTTTGACATGCGTTGCTTTCCCTTGTCTCTCTTTCCTCGAAGCGACGGAAATGTGGTTCTACAGAAGGATGCTAAGGATATCATGAACCGAGCGTGTGAGCAACGATAAGGTCTTGGAGAGGAGGCTTATACTTAACATGAGGAAGAGGCAGCTCAAGTTTATGGGACACATAATGAGGAAGGAGGGCCTCGAGAATCTGATACTCACAGGTCGAATAGAGGGAATTAAAGACAACGCATGACATACCTAGCGTCCTTAAGCAACTGGATGACAGAACGTGCTTCTGCGGGAGATAGCAGAGGGAAGGAACCTGCAAGGGATAGAAAGAGGTGGAGAGCCATGATCGCCTACATCCTGAAAAGACATGGCACATAAAAAGAGAGTGTCAGGCCCTTCTTTCTCATTACGTGTCCCAGAAACTTCAGCTGCCTTCTTCCTGATGTTAAGTATAAGACTCCTTGTTTGCATCCTCTCCAAGACCTCATCGTTGTTCACACGCTCGGTCTATGATATCCTCAGCATCCTTCTGTAGAACCACATTTCCGTCGCCTCGAGTCTCTTCTTCATCTTTGAGGAAATCGGCCAAAATTCGCTGCCGTAAAGCAGGACAGATGTCATGTAACAGCTCAATACTCTTTTCTTTGTTACCAAAGAAATCCTCCTGTCTCGCAATACTCTGTCCAGCATTTGGAATGTGTCCTTGGCCATCCCAATACGTCTACGGATCTCAGTGTCGCACTTGCCGTCTTTTGTCAAAACACTTCCCAGATATTTAAACTTCCGCGTCTGCTTGATTCTAGTGTCCCCGACCTGTAAATCGCATTTCGGGCTCATTTCATCTTACTGATGACCATGTATTCTGTTTTCTTGTAGTTTATGCTTAGTCCTTTCTTCTCACTCTCCTTCGCTACCTTCTGTAGAAGATTTTGTAATTTCTTTTCCGTATCTGCTATCAGTACTCTGTCATCTGCGTATCTTATGTTGTCAAGATTGTGGCCGCCAACGGTCCATGATATCCTTAGTATCCTTCTGTAGAACCACATCTCCGTCGCCTAGAGTCTCTTCTTCCTCAACATTCGCTGCCCTAAAGAAGGACAGATGTCACATAACAGTTCAATATTCTTTTCTTTGTTACCAAAGAAATCTTCCTGTCTCGCAGTACGCTGCCCAATGTTTGGAATGTGTCCTTGGCCATTCCAATACCTCTACGCATCTCAGTGTTGCACTTACCGTTCTATGTCAAGTCGCTTCCCAGATATTTAAACGTCTGCTTGATTCTAGTATTCCTGACCTGCAAATCGCATTTTGGGCTCATCCTCTTACTGATGACCATGTATTCTGTCTTCTTCTAGTCTATGCTTAGTCCGTTAATGAATACCTAACGTTTTCTACATGGAAAGGGTTATTTTCACCATTATCATTATAAATTAATTCCTATTATTTATTGTTGCATTTAATGGACGGAGACTGAATCGGCTTACTGAAATAAAAACCAAATAATCTGGTTAATCGATAATTTGGATATATTACGAAGATAACGGTAAGCTATAACAAAGACTGGTGCTTCAAATGCGTGTAAAGTTTGAAAAGTATGGATGCCTCACTGTGATAAAATAATCGATTATTTTATCTAACTTTTTTTTATAGGAGTTATTCTTGAAGCAAAGCAAAGTGCTTGCCTCTATGAGCGATATATGGATAGAGATAGAAATCGATAGGAAGCTATAAACATACATTGTGAAAAAAAGAAAAAGAGAGAGAATAGCACACACACACACACACACACACACACACACACACACACACACACATATATATATATATATATATATATATATATATATATATATATATATAGTTTATGAAAAATTAGGTAATCCGTATGGGTAGACATAAGGAGGATAAAATCCAGAGAGCTCAATGTAAATTCAGAGCAAATAATTTAAATAAAAACAGACCACTTTTGAGGTTCCATGTAATAAATTATTTCATCATCAGCCCTTGTAAAAGGAAGTCGATGATCATCAGACTTTACTTGTTCGGAAGTCAAAAGTCTGATGATAAATATATATATATTTGAAAAAAAAATTAAAAATTAAAATCTTCAGACACACTGGGTTGTAGATCAATATTCTTTCGTTTTTTTTATTATTATTTCATTTAGATTCCTCGACTAGTTTCGGCCAAAGTGGCCCTCATCAGGAGAAGAAATATTTCTGCTTGCTGGTAGCAGTAAACTACAGAAATGAATGTCTTGATGGAGAAAATGAACTTTTGTCCGTAGTTTTCATTTGTTTTTTTATTTTATTTTTTTTATCTTTTTAACATGAATCTTTTTAACATTCTTTGTGTTGGTCAAACAGTCTCTTTTCAGTTGTTATTTGAGATAAGTGCTGGATAGATCTATGGTTCTCTGAATTCTCTCTGCATTTATATATATATATATATATATATATATATATATATGCAGAGAGAAAGATAGAGAGAGAATAAAGGCACAAAGAGAGGGGAAGAGAGATAAAGAGAGAGTGAAAGAACGAGGGAAATTTATAGTGACGCAGAGTGAGAGAGATACAATGACAGAGAAAAAGAAAGAGAAAGAGAAACAATCAAAGAAAAAGAGAGAAAAATGAGATACAGAGAGACAAAGACAGAAAGGAAGAGAAAGACATATTGAGAGAGAGAAAGACGGAAAGAGAGAAATATTGAGAGAGAGAGAGAGAGAGATAGAGACGAAGATGTGCACAGAGAGAGAAAGAGAGAAAAAGAGAGAGAGAGAGAGATAAGAACAGAGAAAAAGATGCACCGTGAGAAAGACAGAGTGATAGAAAGTCAAAAACAGGCAAAGAGAGAAAGAAAAGCAGCAGAGAGAAAGAGTGATAAAGAGAACAGAAAAAAAGAGAGAGGGAAAGAGAAGTCGATCGAGAGAGGGAGAAAGAGAACAGAAAAAAAGAGAGAGGGAAAGAGAAGTCGATCGAGAGAGGGAGAAAGAGAACAGAAAAAAGAGAGAGAGGAAAAGAAGTCGATCGAGAGAGGGAGAAAGAGAACAGAAAAAAGAGAGAGGGAAAGAGAAGTCGATCGAGAGAGGGAGAAAGAGAACAGAAAAAAGAGAGAGGGAAAGAGAAGTCGATCGAGAGAGGGAGAAAGAGAACAGAAAAAAAGAGAGAGGGAAAGAGAAGTCGATCGAGAGAGGGAGAAAGAGAACAGAAAAAAGAGAGAGGGAAAGAGAAGTCGATCGAGAGAGGGAGAAAGAGAGAGCCCACGAAAGAGAGAGATTAAGAGATAGAAAACAGAAAACAAAAAGGACATAGAGAGACTGAGAGAAAGTACGAGAGAAACAGAGAGAAAAAGGGAGAAAAAAGAAAGAAAGAAAGAGAGAAAGAGAGAGAGAGAGAGAGCCCACTAGAGAAAAAGAAAGATATATAAAAACACAGAGAAAACAAGAAAAAACAAAAAGAGACATAAAAAGACTGAGAGAAAGTACAGAGAAACATCGAGAGAAAAAAGGATAAAAAATAAAAGAAATAATATATAGATAGAGAGAGATAGAAGAGAAGGCTAGAGAATAATAAAAAAGATATATAAAAAAACACATACAAAGGAAGCAGATATAAAAAACGACAAACAGAGAAAAATCAAAAAAAATTTTGTTTCAGACATTCTGTGTCTTTGGTGAAAATAAAAAAAAAAAAAAAATCAGTTTTGAAATCATCGACTATTGAAACAAAATGGAATATAAATAAATACTTAAAATCATATAAATATATATATATATATATATATATATATATATATATATCGACTTTATATCATCTCACTTTTTTTTTTACTTACATTAAGTTCACGTGATATGAAACATACAAAAAAAATCCTATGATATGAAGTTTCATAGAGATTTTGAACGAAAAAAAATTAATGTTAATTCTGGAAAGTGAACAATGACTTTGGAACCAGTGCCACGGACATTCTAAAAATAATGAATGACGGTTGTGCCAAGAATAAAAGAAAATGACCAAAAACAAGAAAAACAAAAAGAAAACCTGATAGTGATTTAAACGTACACAGAATGGCTCATACGCACATATAAATGTGCACGTACACACACACACACACACACACACACACACACACACACACACACGCACGCACGCACGCGCACACACACTTTAGTATTTACCTAGAGCTCTTTGATAAAATCCAAAGAATAATCAGCAATATTATTGCTCCTGTTCTGGCGTCTCGGTTTTAGTCTCTTGCCCGCCGCCATAAGGTTGTCTCCCCTTGCCTTTTCTATAAATACTTTCATGGGAATTGTTCGGATTAGCTCTTCAATATGGTGCCTAGACTCTTTGAATTTAAGCGCAATACTAGACTGGCAAAGAAGTCTCATAAATTTACAATTGAGCTAGCTAGATGTAACCGTACATTCTATGCTAACAGTTTCTTTTCTCGCACTTCTCGCTTGTGGAACTCCCTCGCGGCTCCCTGCTTTCCAGCCAACTTCAACAATTTAAATGCAACGTCAATCGCTATCTACTGTTCTCCTGATTATTCTTGTTCTTGCTCCTTAGCAATGTTTTTGTTTCCAAACCCTCTACCCAGTGAATTCTATCTTTCGCACGCTAGTTCAGTCAATCAAAATCAACTTCCTTACTTCGACGTGTTGCAATGGTTAGCAAACTTGTCTCGCTAGAACGATTTCAACTGAGTAGTGAGTTCGATCCACACTGGATGCACCATACGTTAGGCCTTGTACCACATCTAAGCTACGCTCAGAAAATCACATCTGACAACGAATGCTAACCTCCGGTAGTCAAAGCCAAGATAGACTTCCCCGAAAATTAATAGTCGGCTAAACGCAAATATTAATTCTGTCTTCTTATAGTTGATGCTTAGTCCGTTCTTTGCATTTTTCTTTCTACGTATACTATCAAAACTATGTCATCTGCATATCCAATATTGTTAAGATTGTGGCTGCCAATAATAAATCCTGGTAGGACTTCTAATTCTCTCAGAATCGCCTTAAAGTATATGTTGAATAAGTCTGATGAGAAAACTGATTAATAAGTTGAACAACGGGTTGAGAAATAACAAATCCAAGAATTTTTAATAGTTTAACAGGGGTAATATTGGGGCCAACCGATTTAGAAGGTTTAATATTTGATATTACATCTGTAACTTTCAAATGTGTAACAGGTGTAAGAAATAAAGATTTTGTATTTTTATTAGAGAGATAATCAAGAGGAGTTTTAGGTATTTTAGGAATGTTCTTTGATATATTTTCTGCGGCACTAACAAAATAGCCATTCAAGACATTTGGCATCTCAACTGCGTCAGATTTAACCTTTTCATTACGGTTTTTTAATATTATTGGTAGTATAAGTAATAGCGTTTTTGTCACAAATGAGCGATTTTATGCCGGGCCATATTTTTTTTTCAGATTTTGAGTGTTAGCTGAAAAATAATCGTGGAAATAATTAGTTTTGCTTACATTCAATTCTGCAGCTATACGGATGTTAATTTTTTTTTTGTAAATGTAGATATTGGTTCCAGATATGTTTTTTTTTTTTTTTTTTTTTTGCCTATGGGTATGATCTCAGATTCTGATCAATTTAACTTGAATAGTAAAAGATACCTTCCAAAAGGTAAACAGAATACTAAGGAACTTGAAAATTTAATTGAAAACAACTGTCATGTAATATTGATTCTCCTATATAACAGTGAATGTTGGATCATATCATCAGATGAAGAAGATAGGAAGATGAAACAGATGAAGATGAAGAAGAGGCAAGAGAATGTGGTTCTACAGAAGGATGCTGGTCGACTGAACATGTGATGAAATGGAAACAAAATGGACACTTTTAAGGAACACCAGAAAGAGACAGATGGAATTTCTCGTTCCCATAATGAAGAAATTGGGCTTCGAAAACGTGACAGTTAAACAGGACAGATTGAAGGCAAGAGGAACATTAGCCTATCTAACGTGCTTGTGTAAATGGTTAGCAGAACAGGGGAAGTCGCGGAGAGCTATGATCGCTTATACCAAGAAGAAGAAGAAGAAGAAAGAGGAGGTGAGAAGAAGAAAGAGGAAATGAGAAGAAGATGAAGAGGAGGAGGTAAGAAGAAGAAGAAGAAGAAGAAGAAGAAGAAGAAGAAAGAGGAGGTGGGAAGAAGAAGAAGGAGGAGGAGGAGGCGGAGAACAAGAAGAAAAAAGAGGGAGGAGGGCATTAGAAGAAGAAGAAGAAGAAGAAGAAGAAGAAAGAGGAGGTGGGAAGAAGAAGGAGGAGGAGGAGAACAAGAAGAAAAAAAGACGGAAGAGGGCATTAGAAGAAGAAGAAGAAGAAGAAGAAGAAGAAGAAAGATAAGCATAATAATAATAATGATGATGATGATGATAATAATAATAACAATATTAAGAGTTCTCTTTTAAAATCTTCAGTTCGTTCAATTTGCTCGTGCTTGTAAAAGTTAGTCTTTGCGAATGTCGACTATTTTGAACTTGGTCTTGTCAAAGATCCATATGAACAATAAACGTAGAATTAAACACGGTTGCCGTGAAATCTGACACAGACACACACATAACATAATCCACACATACATTTACAGCCGTTTATAGTAAAACGCGTGTGTATAAAACCACATTCTTATTTGCGTACAAATAATAGTCGATAGACAGACACACGTAGTTGGTTATTTGTTATAGAAATCATTTTAAGTATTGACTAATGCGAAGGCATCAATCTGGACTCATTTCAACTGTCAACTGTTGGCCATGAAACACCAGGGCACATCAGCTAACTTTTGAGTGATTGTTCTGTACCTACAAGTAGTAGTAACTTTTTTTTAGCGATGAAAGCCTTCAGCTAACGTTATCTAAAGCCGTGTAAATATTTATTGATAATATCAAGTTGATTAAAAACCTTTTCTTACCAATGGGACTTCTCCGATGAAATAGAATCAAAGCAAAAGACGTCATTTTTCCAGAAATATTTTCGACTGATACACAGCAAATTTGGCATTTGATTAACAAAAAATAATTTTCATGAACACTGCCTTTTTCAAAATGGCGACCAAGTCGCCACCGTTGAGACTTCTCAGGCAGGCGCTTTTATTTAACTGTTTTATTTTTCGCCTTTATAACTGTCATTTAAAGATTATTAAATAATATTTATTTGTAAAGGATATTAGAATAATCCCAAACCTATATTGCAAGCAAACAGCCTATATACTGACAGAAAATGAATTGAGTATTTACACAAAAGACAAGGATGTGTTTCTTCACGGGGTTTATTCAATTTTTATAGTGAGACGATCCTAAGAGTAACTAGAAGACCTATTCGGATTTATTATTGGTGGCCATATTCTTAACAGCATAAGATATGAAGGTGAAACTGTGTTGATGGCAAACACAGAAAAAACTGTAGCGATATCTGTGTCAGCTGATATCTTGTTGAATAGAAAACATTTGACCAGTCAAAAAATGGTTTCAGACATTTATTTTTCAGGTGATTATCAGCTAAGTGATCTTCACAAGTGCTATGGCAAGCAGCTCTGGCAAGAGAGGGTTCCTGAATGAGGCCAGACTAAATTACCAGTTTAGATAAACGTGACAAGACAAAGAATAATGTTCTCTATAAGACAGTGGTCCCTACCAGCAGAAAAGACAGAGCGACAGGGAGAACCCACGGAGAGTGATGAGAAAACAAGCCCGGAACGACGCCAAAGAGAAAACTCCCCTTTAGACTGTTCAGCCCCTCACTATGCTTTATTTCTGCTTTGCTCGTCTATAGCAGTAGGTTAAAGCAAAATAAAATTTGCCTGCTACTACAGAATAGTCTCATGGTAATATCGTGGATGATGATCTTGGCAAGGAGTTATTTTTAAACCACAAGCGTTTGACTGGAATAAGACGCACCTTCAGTGGCTATCGAGGCTTTTATCCGGTGAACTAGGTATTAAAAAGCAAAGAACAAAATCAGAATAAAATAAAAGCACTCTTTTTCTTTCATCTGTGAATTTTGATGCGTATATTGCAATTCAGGTAGATCCTCAGATGTGTATTTCGCTGACCTTTCCTTTGCACAATCGCAGCTCATTTCCGTTCCCTGTGAGTCTTATTCGGAGGTCTCCCTGCACGAGTGAATTCACTGTCCGACGTGATCACGTCAATTATGGTTCGTTGCATTTGACATCTGCCCAACCCTGATAGCCCTACCCCTGTCAGCAGATAGAAAATAGAGGAAATTCAAGTTGGCCAAAGATTGTATCAGTCACGCTACATGACATCAGACATTGTGTTTTGTACCGACATTCTATTTTTTTATCCCTCCTTCAGGTCCCACATTTCTTTCTTTCTTTCTTTCTTTCTTTCTTTCTTTCTTTCTTTCTTTTTTCCTTCCAAATTTCTTTCTTTCTTTTACTTTTCATCTTTCTTTCTTTCTTTCTTTCTTTCTTTCTTTCTTTCAAACTTTCTTTTTCTTTTCCTTCCTTCCATCCTTTCAAATTTCGTTCTTCCTTTTACTTTTCATCCTTCTTTCTTTCTTTCTTTCTTTCTTTCTTTTACTTTTCATCTTTCTTTCTTTCTTTCTTTCTTTCTAAATTTCTTTCTTTCTAAATTTCTTTCTAAATTTCTTTCTTTCTAAATTTCTTTCTTCCTTTCTCTTCTTTCCATCATTCCAAATTTCTTTTTCCTTTCTTTCGCTTCCTTCCATCCAAATTTCTTTCTTATTTCTTTTTCTTTCTTTCTTTCTTTCTTTCTTTCTTTCTTTCTTTCTTTCTTTCTCTCTTTTGCTTCCGTCCCTCCATTTTTTCTTTTTTTCTTCTTTCCATCCTTCTAAATATCTTACTTTCTTACTCCTTCTTCCATTATTACAAATTTCTTTCTATTTTTTTCTTACTTTCTCTTCCTTCCATCCTTTCAAATTTATTTATTTCGCTTCCTTCCAGTCTTCCAAATTTCTTTCTTTTAATATTTTCTATACATTGGTTGCTTTTCTTCCTGCCTTTTTCTGTGTTTCCTTGTCATATTTATGTATTAGTTTCCTTCCTTCCTTTCTTTCTTTCTTTCTTTCTTTCTTTCTTTCTTTCTTTCTTTTCCTTCCAAATTTCTTTCTTTCTTTTACTTTTCATCTTTCTTTCTTTCTTTCTTTTCCTTCCATTCTTCTTATGGTATTTCTTCTTTAATATTTTTTGGGATGTTCCCCAATTTTTCTTTGGTTTCTAAATTCTTCCTTTGTTTTGCTTTCTTACATTCTTGTCTCCCGACAAACGTTCATTCCTTCTTACTTTCTTTCTTTTCAGCTACACATGTTTATTAAACATGTTTACTCAAGGTGCGATGACCAAGTTTTTTATTACAGTCGTAATATTCCATTTGATTATTTATTACGTTAAATATTGTTCTCGGAGTTTGGAGGATTGTAGTAATTTATCCAGATTACATTAGACATAATGGATGTTCGGACGTTGTAATGGATGGTGGCTGAGTTCAAATTCCAATCCGGAGCGTTGCTTTCACTTACGTGTAAAATTGTTAAAGCAATATTCAGTCGTACGATAAGAGATAAATACCCACAATAATAATAATAATAATAATAATAATAATAATATCTAACATAAATAAATTAAAATAAAGTAAAATAAAAAGATTTTTTAATAACCAATATATAAATGCAGTCAACGACGAAATCATTGATACACCCATCAATTTTGACTCTTTATACATTTCTCCGAATCTAATGCCCGTATGACGCCAGTTTTTTTATACGTCAATACGCGCAAAAAAGGAATATAAAACACAATTTTCAGAACAACAGGTTAAATACAACAAATTTGGCAGGTGAATTATACAAAATAGGAAAACACAAAATAATTCGTACCGTATAAAAAATAGAAAAAAAAAAGAACAATTTTCACAATATTAATAGTCAATAGCATGGCCTCTCATCTTTATAACTTGCTGAAATCGTTTTTAAATTTTTTGATCAGATTTGAACAAGTCTTTTCTGGGATCTTTAATGGTTACACATTTTAATTCCCGAAAGCTCTTTGGTGACTGATGATTTATTTAAACTTTCAATTCTTGCCATAGATTTTCAATAGGATTCAAGTCAAGACTCATTGAAGGCTATGGCAGAACTGTAATCTTCTTTTTCTGAAGCCACGCAGTCACTGATTTAGACGTGTGTTTGGTATCATTATCTTGCTGGAAAGTAAATCGCCGAGCTAGATGAAGATTTTGCGTTGATAGTTGGAGGTTTTCATCCAAAATTATGATATAGTCTGCAGATTTCATTATCCCTCTTCTTGCAATTAATTGTCCATCCCCCCTTGTGATAAAACAACTCCAAAATATCACCGAGCCGCCTCCATGTTTTAATGTTGCCACTGTGTCCTTTGAGAGGAAAGCCTAACATTTCTTGCGCCAAATCTTCTGTACATCATTATGCCCCAAAAAGCTCAATTTTTGTTTCATCACTCCATAGTATTTGTTCTCAAAAGCAATTTTCTTTGTCCAAGAATGTTTTGGCAAAATTAAACCATGTCACTATACGGCGCAGTCGACAAAATCGAAAACAAGTAACGCGGATCCGTGAAATTGAAGACAATTTACCCATGGCAACATATATATATATATATATATATATATATTATCATAAGATATTATATTAAAAGCATGTTGAAATCGCTACACAAAAGCTTTTATGTTTCAATATTTTGATTGTACTTCTTCAGGTGAAAGTATGAAACATGAAAGCATGTAGCGATTTCAAAATATTTATGTCATAATCTATTATAATAAAATTATATATTGCTCTACTGTGTATTGAGCATTTTTCAAAAAAGTAAATGCTAAGAACAATGGAATTTTACTTCATCTGTTCTTTCTCCCAGTTGATTATATATATATATATATATATATATATATATATATATATATATATATAGAGAGAGAGAGAGAGAGAGAGAGAGAGACATACATACATACATACATACATACATACATACATACATACATACATACATACATACATACATACATACATACACATACATACGGTGGTGTAATGGATAGAGGCTTGGATTGAGGAATCGCACAGCCGAGTTCGAATTCCAGTCGAGTCCATTAAATTCACTTACGTACTAATGCCCTTGGGAAAGGTGTAAATCCTTTTCTTCTCCCTCCATCTATGGGTAAATAGCAGGACAGACTGGGTTCTATTGCATTGGATGGCAACTGGTCTAGGAGAAGGACAACTCTGAATTTAAAACCTGCGGAGGGTCGTTTGGGGACCTTGTGGCACATAGTGCACCAGGTCTCTGTATTCAGCCCTTCAAAAAGTGTGGTTGGTTCTGCACAAAGCCTTCACCACTATAATCAAATCTCATGTGCTGCTGTCGGTTTCCTAGAACTTATCTGCTTGATCCTCATACGTCGAATGTCGATGGGAGTGTCATATATATATATATATATATATATATATATATATATATATATAGCAAAAAGCCAACATTGCCTCACAAAATTAAACTACATTTTGAATAATTGCTATAAAAATATATATGCTCTGTTATATTAAATACATTCAGCTATCTGTGGATCAATTTTAATATTTGATATCACCAGGATCCACCACCTGGAGAATTACCAACGGATCTATTACCTGTACTATATATATATATATATATATATATATATATATATATATATATCAACCACAGATGGGCTTTTGTAGGTGTTGAAGAAATGTGCTTGAGCGAGCGTCTGAATTAGGGATTGCCTCGCCGCTCTAGTAGATGGGTATCTTTGAATACGTGTGGCCAGATATGACATGATATATATATATATATATATATATTATAATTTTTTCATGTAGACAAAAACAATTTACTCACGACAAAGATGCAACTTCGTTTCAGTGCATTTAGTTGCACCTTCATTGGTGAGAACCAAATGGTTATTGACAAGCAGGCACATCACTTCCTTTTTTTCTATTTATTTGAAAAAAAATAGGTACATTTGAAGAGGAGACGTACAAGGATAAAGAAAAAATAGGAGAGGCAAAAAGGGTGACAGAGTGAAACAATAGTGTTTGTTGATGTCAGTCTGTTGAACGATTGTTGAGGTGACGGCTCGACCCGAAATTTTTTTTTTAATCGAAAATTTTTTTTATGACCATTTTGGTTATAATATATTTCGTGAATATTTCTATATTCATCTCTTTAAACTGAAAGTTCTTAAGAAATGGAGACAATCCATCCGGACATATATATTGTATTAACTTTGTGGAAGGGAAAGCAAGATAGGATAGAAGAAAGAGAGAAACGAAGAAAGAAAAATGCCAGATTTTCGAATATAAAATTCTTTTTAGAATATAAACGAGAGAGTGAGATATAGATAGAGTGGAGTGAGAGAGGGGGAAGAGTGAAGGAATGGTAAGGGATTAAAGAAGAAATAAATGATGGGATAGAATTAAAACTAAAATAGAATGAGCTGACCAAGATCTTTTTTTCCTTAAATGGCTGAACAAGGTTTGTACATCGGGTGATATGGTGTTTGATCAGACTTGAAAGCATTGCAGCAAATTATCCGATAAAGCCATTTATTTTAGGCAGCTATAATCATCACAAATTCAAATTAGTTAGCCTAATAAAGATAACACTAATTATGTTTATCCTTCTATGTTTATATCCTAAATTTGTTCTCTATAATTACAGTCAACACATAAATTTTGAATATTTTTATCCATTTCCCAGAATTTAATGCCCGTATGATGCCAGTTTTTTTTATATGTTAATAAGTATCAACAAAGGAATATAAAACTCAATTTTCAGAACAATAGGTTTCATACAACAAATTTGACAGGCGAATTATGAAAAAAAAATAGGAAAAGACAAAATTATTCGTACAGTAGGAAATATCATTTAAATTGATTGATTTGTGTAAGTATAAGTAATTTGCATAATTATTTTATCGGTGAAGCTTTCAAAACTATTTATTCAGTAGAATATTTGTGATAATTCCAGCAAAGAAAATTACGTAGTGCACAGATTGCTATGCTTACGTTAACAACACAATGGAGAAGACAAAGGAGACAGAGAAGTATTAACTTCCACAAGTCAGGAAATAGTTACAGCACTATTTCAAACCGGTTAGCTATCCCTAGATCTAAGGTAAAATCCGTTATAAAGAAGTTTAAACAGTTTGGCACGACAGAGAATTTGCCTGGGCGTGGAAGAAAACCCAAATTGTCACCAAGAATTGCATGAAAACTGTGTCGTAAGGTTAATATAAACCCAAGAGTTGTTTTGAAAGACATCGCCAAAAGTTTGGATACGATGGTTATCAGCGTAAGTACCCACACAATACAATGTATTTTTTAAAAAATAGAAATGGATTGTATGGAAACCAACCACGACGAATCCCGCTTCATAAACCATGTCACATGCAGAATACCGAAAAATTCAAACTTAAAACCTTTTTCTCCATGTTACATTTCTGTCATTTGGTTAATAATTAAGATTTAATAAATCTTTATCGTACTGATTATATAGCTAGCCTTTCATTTGTCCTTGTTTTATTAACCAACCTATTTTACATATTAGAAGAAGCAGACGTGGACACTTTCGGATAATAAGTGTGACATTCCTGTAATTATTGAACAATATAGTTCATGCCACATTGACTGAAAAACCTACCAGTACAAAAGAATTCTCTTATTGCTATATTTGTACAAAAACGCACAGCCTTAAAATTTAAATTCAAACTCAGCGTTGCGACCGCACGTTCCAAAACAATAACACATTTCTCATTGCATTTTTTCGGATTACATCTCTATTTTCGTTGTCCTCTTATTACCGAGAAGTAAAAACAAGAACAAAATCTACTTCCATACCTGAAGATGTCTGTAGGAACAGACGAAAGCTTGTAAAAAATTAAAAAGACCTTAAATGCAAATGGAATTTATAAACAGGGATCATATCATTCATATACAAGTTCGGGGTTGGTGTATCTTATTTATATTGTTTGCGATGATGTATTCTCGCCATTTAAATCATTAACCTCTATATTTGTTTTTTGTATGAATGATTCATGAATATATATATATATATATATATGCTTCATAAAAAATGACATTCACTTTAAAATC